GCGCGGACCTTTGAGTTTGTTCCATGGATACCGTTTCTCCTCTGATTATATTCATTTGGATGCTGCTTATGATTCCTGAGCTCGATTGTCGCTTACTACTATATCCGGTCTCGGTGTGCGTCCTTTGTATTTGTCTATATCGTTTGTTACAGCAATCTATCATCTCATTCCTTGCTCTTCTCCGTATGTATGCTCAGGCCCTGCTGAGGGTCATAGCCATATTATCTCTACTGCCGCAGAGCGGGACTCCGACGCATTCGCCGGGCTTACTAGTGCTCAGCGCGAGAGTGTGTGTACATGATAAGCTGCAATTATAACGCACGTTAAAAAATAAATGATGACAGGAGAAATAGTGTGGCATCCACCTTTTACTCGATCGAGAACGTCGAATCGACTGAACAACAGCGCCATGGGTAGTGATTTGACTGGCTCGGCTTCAAGCCAGCAAGCGGGCCAAGCCGAGCCTGCACAAGCTGGGCCAAGCCGAGCCAAAGCGTGCCGGCTTGGAAAGGCTTTTGGCTCGGCTTGGACGTCAAGCCAGCCAAGCCAAGCCGGCAAGCCGCGGCTTTAGATAATAAACTTGCTGTATGTAGTACTGCTGTTAGAGTAATTAGCGATAAATTCCTAAAATATTATATTGTGTTCTCCTCTACCGCATCTGTCTTCTAATGTAGATAAATCAATAGATTATTAATAAGACTGAGCCTCACCACGAAGAAATATAGTGGGGGCGCCAGCGCTTGCCCCGCTTAACCGGTTGCCATGTAACGTTGCGGGCCCCTGTCCGAACGGCTTTGCAAGGTTCTGCCAACATGGAAGGAGAGGCTTGTTCAGGCGGGTGCACCTGCTTGCAAAGGCAGCGCCTTCCAGTTCAAAATGGCAGGGCGAGTGCTAGAGGTCCCTAGCTGCCCGACACCTGATGCCCGCCTGGCCACCGCGTCGAGGCGCTGCGCGACATGCGCGCTGGCAAATGAGCCCTTATATAGGCATAATATAATTTATCTGGGTGAAACCACCCGAGGGTGCGCACGAAACGTTGTGTTGCACCTCCTGCGGTTTGCCAGCACCCCCGGCACCCCTGACCGTGACAGGTGTTTGCCGCGTCATGTCAGCCTCCGCTGTTCGCCACTCGCGCATGCACCGTCTCCGGCGTCCGCGCATTTTATTTGGCAGTGCTTCCATCCTTTCGTATGAAGTTCGAGTTTCTGAACGACTTTATTGATGTTTCACATCTAAATTATATCTCAGAGTATGTATTTAGACATCATACTATACAAAGAAACTCTTTACATGCTGTACATACTCCTATGTCTATGTGTGGCAGCTGTGGAACCGTTGACAAGGTTAATCCACAGCACCTGCGGCTAGTGATGTGCGGGCCGGGCCTCAAAGCCTTCAAGCCCGCCAAGCCCGGCCCAAAAAGCCTGGCCCGAGTCAAGCCTGGCAGCGGGCTCAAGGCCGGGCTCAGAGTGTAGTCAAGCCCAAACCCGGCCTGGAAGCCCAGGCTTGGATGTGCTGGCTCTGTTACTGTTCCCTGAGTTCAGAATAAGGAGAGAGCGACCTAATATGCACATAGAAGACAAAATGTAGATATTCTAGATGTAACGGCTCCCGCCGAGCATGATTGTGCGTCACCATCTGGTGCCTGTTGTAGGCGCACACCCGTGGACTTCGCTGCAACTCGACTTGTTCCGCAGGTGTAGATCTTCTGGAGGTTATAATTTAGTGAGTACATGCAGTATTAATCTACTACACCCAAATACATTCCCTTTTGATAGCACCGGAACACTCGTTGTATTGTGAGCAAGCCTGGGCTTAAGCCCAAGGCTTGGGCCGGGCTCGGGCTCGGCTCGGGCTCAGGGCTCGGCTCGACGTCGTCACAAGCCCAAGCCGGGCCCGCACATCACTACACCTGCCTAATTAGGTTTCAAGCCGCGGCCCAAGCCAAAGCCGAGCCACTGGCTTATGGCTTGCAGCGGCTTGCGGATTGGCTTGGGTTTTCGCAAGCCCAAGCCTGGCGAAGCCAAGCCAAAGCCACCGGCTGATGGGCCAAGCCAAGCCAGTCAAATCACTACCTGGAACTTGAGTTGCGCGACGCCGAAGACATACAGTTCCTCAAGAGCATTATCAGCAGCCCTAGATTTGCAGCTTCATGTCTGTACAGGTCCATCAAGCAGATATGTATCTGTCAAGAAGCTATGGGAGCGAAGCCCTGGCTTCACCATGTCCATGGAC